CCGAGGCCCCTCCCACCAGCGTTACAAACAGGTTTGATTGACAGCGTTGCTAAGCGCCCACTCCCTCACTGTGAAGGGGCGGTACCTTCAACAGCCTCGCTCCTGATTGGCTCTTTGGTTGCTACGATACTCACAGTCGGACTCCTGAGTCTCCGCTGTAACTGCAGACCTCCATGAGGTTCATTTGACTGGAGCCAAAGTCTTTATACAGACGACGGTGTCAGGGGAGCACGGGGGAGGGAGACAGGGGCGACAGGTGAGTGTGACAGGTGAGTGGGCGGAGCTTTACCTGGGAGGAGCCCAGTCGTGTTTGGTGCAGTCCAACAGAGTCCCCACGTACGTCCTCTTCCTCCAGGTCACGTTCACCACCAGCACACCTGCCAACAGAGACACCTGTCAGTCACCTGCCAACAGAGACACCTGTCAGTCACCTGCCAACAGAGACACCTGTCAGTCACCTGCCAACAGAGACACCTGTCAGTCACCTGCCAACAGAGACACCTGTCAGTCACCTGCCAACAGAGACACCTGTCAGTCACCTGCCAACAGAGACACCTGTCAGTCACCTGCCAACAGAGACACCTGTCAGTCACCTGCCAACAGAGACACCTGTCAGTCACCTGTCACACTGTCAACAGAGACACCTGTCAGTCACCTGCCAACAGAGACACCTGTCAGTCACCTGTCAAACAGAGACACCTGTCAGTCACCTGCCAACAGAGACACCTGTCAGTCACCTGCCAAACAGAGACACCTGTCAGTCACCTGCCAACAGAGACACCTGTCAGTCACCTGCCAACAGAGACACCTGTCAGTCACCTGCCAACAGAGACACCTGTCAGTCACCTGTCAAACAGAGACACCTGTCAGTCACCTGCCAACAGAGACACCTGTCAGTCACCTGCCAACAGAGACACCTGTCAGTCACCTGTCAAACAGAGACACCTGTCAGTCACCTGCCAACAGAGACACCTGTCAGTCACCTGCCAACAGAGACACCTGTCAGTCACCTGCCAACAGAGACACCTGTCAGTCACCTGCCAACAGAGACACCTGTCAGTCACCTGCCAAACAGAGACACCTGTCAGTCACCTGCCAACAGAGACACCTGTCAGTCACCTGTCACAACACACTGCCAACAGAGACACCTGTCAGTCACCTGTCAAACAGAGACACCTGTCAGTCACCTGCAACAGAGACACCTGTCAGTCACCTGCCAACAGAGACACCTGTCAGTCACCTGCCAACAGAGACACCTGTCAGTCACCTGCCAACAGAGACACCTGTCAGTCACCTGCCAACAGAGACACCTGTCAGTCACCTGTCAAACAGAGACACCTGTCAGTCACCTGCCAACAGAGACACCTGTCAGTCACCTGTCAAACAGAGACACCTGTCAGTCACCTGTCAAACAGAGACACCTGTCAGTCACCTGCCAACAGAGACACCTGTCAGTCACCTGCCAACAGAGACCCTGTCACACTGTCAGAGACACTGTCAGTCACCTGCCAACAGAGACACCTGTCAGTCACCTGCCAACAGAGACACCTGTCAGTCACCTGTCAAACAGAGACACCTGTCAGTCACCTGCCAACAGAGACACCTGTCAGTCACCTGTCAAACAGAGACACCTGTCAGTCACCTGTCAAACAGAGACACCTGTCAGTCACCTGCCAACAGAGACACCTGTCAGTCACCTGTCAACAGAGACACCTGTCAGTCACCTGTCAATCATAATACACCTGTCAGTCACCTGTCAAACAGAGACACCTGTCAGTCACCTGTCAACAGGGACACCTGTCAGTCACTTGTCAACAGAGACACCTGTCAGTCACCTGTCAACAGAGACACCTGTCAGTCACCTGTCAATCATAATACACCTGTCAGTCACCTGTCAAACAGAGACACCTGTCAGTCACCTGTCAATCATAATACACCTGTCAGTCACCTGTCAATCAATCATACACCTGTCAGTCACCTGCCAAACAGAGACACCTGTCAGTCACCTGTCAACAGACACCTGTCAGTCACCTGTCAAACATATTCACCTGTCAGTCACCTGTCAGTCATATTCACCTGTCAGTCACCTGTCAGTCACCTGTCAGTCATATTCACCTGTCAGTCACCTGTCAGTCATATTCACCTGTCAGTCACCAGTCAGTCACCTGTCAGTCATATTCACCTGTCAGTCACCTGTCAGTCACCTGTCAGTCACCTGTCAGTCACCTGTCAGTCATATTCACCTGTCAGTCATATTCACCTGTCAGTCACCTGTCAGTCACCTGTCAGTCACCTGTCATTCACCTGTCAGTCACCTGTCAGTCACCTGTCAGTCACCTGTCAGTCACCTGTCAGTCACCTGTCAGTCACCTGTCAGTCACCTGTCAGTCAGTATACGTGGTGCTGTGTGTGGTGGAGTTTTAACGTTTGTAAAAGTGACTAAATAAAAATGTGGTGAAATCGATTGGACGAGCCCAAAGTTTCCAGTTTCTTTTGAGCCAATCACTGCAAACCTGAACAACGACAGGTCCACCCTGCGCCAGGTAAAACCACAACAGGTGAGGAACATGTCCATAAACCAAATCTGAGCGTTCAGGGGCCTTATCAGCCACAGTTTGTTTCTGGTTCTGATATTGTCAGATTTTAGTTTTGGGTTTCAGACATCGTTATTTGTGTGGTTGTTGGATCCAAACAGCGGAAAACGACTCGAGAAATGTGTTTGTGAACTTCATAAATGCAAAAGTGAATCAGATGTGTGTGACTCAAACCTCTGTTCAAACTGTTTCTCTTCCCAACAGAATTGAAAAATAGTGAAAGGTGAAGGTGATGGGCAGGATTGATCCACAGAAGAACCAAAAAGGAAACATTTGTCTGACTAAGAAATCATCCCGAGTTTACAGAGAACATTTTGTATGTGGAGCGACGACAAAACAAAATCCTGATCCCTCGTTTAACCTGAGTTATGAATTTAAAAGGTCAACACCAAAGTGAAAGTCTCCAACTGTTCACCAAGAAACACCTTCCACTGCAAAGACCAAGACGTGATGTTTGTGTAAAACCACAAGAACAAGAAAGTGCAGCTCAGTCTGTTTGTCTTCTGCTCTTCTCCATTAACAAACAGATTTTGTCTGTATTTGTGGTTATGGTGCCGTGTGCTCCACAGGGGGCGCTCACCTTCCTGCGTCTCGTGCCACACGATGCCCTCCAGGTTGACGCTGGTGCCCGGCTGGCAGGGGCCTCTCTGCGGCAGCTCGCCCTCCGCGCAGCCCCGCTCCTGCGTGTTCGTGCCCACGGAGCGAGTCCGGACCTGCTGCAGGAGCGACCTGTGAGACGACAGCGACGAGGACGAGGAGAGCAGGGGCTTATGGGTCAGAGACGAGGACAGGGAGGAAGAGAGGGAGGAAGAAAGAGAGGAGGAGAGGGAAGAGGAGAGAGAGGAGGAGAGAGAGGGGAGCAGAGAGGAGGAGAGAGTCGGAGGAGAACAACCAGAGCCCGGGCAGGAGGAGAGAGGGAACAGAGACTCCAGCTGAGAGACGAGAGGACAGAGGGAGACAGGGAGAGAGGGACATATAAAATATTAGATATAAAGAACAGAGATACAGACAATCATGGACCAGGATCTAAACCAGATCTGAGAGTCCAGCTTCAGCTTCAGACTCCTGCCTCAGGTCCGTTTCCTTCCTCTGAATCAAACACGATTCCAAACAAAACTCTGAACCAGGAGTTTGAAAATGAGACGATCATGAGGAAAAAACTCACAGTGAGACTTTAGAAAGACCCAAGTTTAAACACCAGTGCAGGTCTGAACCAGGTCTGAACCAGGAGGTCTGAACCAGGACTGAACCAGGTCTGAACCAGGTCTGAACCAGGACTGAACCAGGTCTGAACCAGGACTGAACCAGGTCTGAACCAGGTCTGAACCAGGACTGAACCAGGACTGAACCAGGTCTGAACCAGGTCTGAACCAGGACTGAACCAGGTCTGAACCAGGACTGAACCAGGTCTGAACCAGGTCTGAACCAGGTCTGAACCAGGACTGAACCAGGTCTGAACCAGGTCTGAACCAGGACTGAACCAGGTTCTGAACCAGGTCTGAAGGTGAACCAGGACTGAACCAGGACTGAACCAGGTCTGAACCAGGTCTGAACCAGGTCTGAACCAGGACTGAACCAGGACTGAACCAGGTCTGAACCAGGTCTGAACCAGGTCTGAGCAAGGTGCTGGTCTCTGCTCCTCTGACCCTCTCGTCTCTGTCCATTGTCACATCACTACACACTGTTGTCATCTCCATGGAAACGGACACACACCTAAACAAAGACCTGAACCTGGTCCAGGCCTGGTCCTGGTTCAGGTTTAGTCCTGGTTCAGTCCTGTTCCTTCAGGATTCTCCCGCTCAGTTGTGGTTAAACGTTTGTGAGGAGACTGAGGACACTCACGTGCACGCTCTTACTCACACGTGCACGCTCCTGAGCCACAGACACAACGACAACAAAAGACCAGGACTCGAACCCACAACCTCCTCACAGGCTAACCACTCTGCCACAGGCCTACAACACATCACCCGGACCAGGACTGAACCAGGACTGAACTAGGACTAAACCAGAACTGAACCAGGACTGAACTAGGACTCAGCTAGGACTAAACCAGAATCAACCCAGGACCAGGACAGAACCACAACCAGGCCTAAACCAGGACTAGATCAGGACTAGACCAGGATTAGACCAGGACTGGACCAGGCCTGCACGGGGAAATCACACAAAGCTTCAGTGTCAGAGCTCCTGCGCGGCACGGCGCGGTACGGCCCGCTTTGTCCCGCTTTGTCCCGCTTTGTCCCGCTTTGTCCCGGTGTGTCTGTATTGTGTTATTGTCCTGCTGATGTCCGTGCGTGCGCGTGTGCGCGTGTGCGCGGGCAGACAAAGCTCGGGCCTGAGGCGGTGCGCGCTCGTACCTTGTCCGGGGCTCGGTGTTTCTTCGCCGCGGCGTCGTCCTGCTGCCGCCGCGCCGCGCCCGCGGCATTGTTCGCGTTGCCGCCGCCGCCGCCGCTGTTGTTGTTGTTGTTTTCCGCCATCGCGCCGCGGCTCTGCGCGGGTCCCGGACGAGGCGGTGACGGGGGGCTGCGCGGCGGGAGGAAGGCGCGCGGCGGGGAGGCGGCGGAAGAAGCGCACACATCACTGTCCCGCTCGCGCTTCCACGACGCGCGGAGAACGTTTCGGTTTTTGCGCTCATCTTTGCCCTTGGCGTCACAAAGCATGTCTCCTCCTGAGCCCGCGCGCCGTGTCCCCGTGCCGAGGGCGGACAGGGGGAGAGGAGGAGGAGAGGGGTGAGAGGAGGAGAAGGAGAGAAGAGGAGGAAGAGGAGGAAGAGGAGGAAGAGGAGGAAGATGCGGGCAGGGCGGCGCGCTCAGGGCCGCGGATGCTGGAGACGCGGCGGTGGCTCCTCCATTCACACCGAGACAGGCCTACTGCGCATGCGCACAGTACTGTAAACTATTTTGAAGAATCACTAGAGAAGAATTGAGTGAGAATCGGCTCTTCATAAAAGAGAGGAAGAAGAAGAAGAAGAAGAAGAAGAAGAAGAAGAAGAAGAAGAAGAAGAAGAGACGTTATCAAATAGTGAAATGAACCAACGAAAAGATTCAGAATGAAACAATAATAATATAAAGTCCATAAGTTACACACATACACATACACATACACATACACATACACACATCTGTGACATGTGCTCTGTAAACAGACTCACAACAGACCAGAACCAGACCAGGACCAGACCAGACCAGGACCAGACCAGGACCAGACCAGACCAGGACCAGACCAGACCAGGACCAGACCAGGACTACAACACTGATGGTTCTCTTCTCTGATGACTTCACTCTGAGCCCAAGAACAGGAACTATGTCCAGGACTAAACCAGGAATAAACCAGGACTGAACCAGGACTAAACCAGGACTAAACCAGGACTGAACCAGGACTAAACCAGGACTAACCAGGAAACCAGACTAAACCAGGACTAAACCAGGACTGAACCAGGACTAACCAGGACTAAACCAGGACTAAACCAGGACCAGGACTAAACCAGGACTAAGGACTACCAGGACTAAACCAGGACTAAACCAGGACTGAACCAGGACTGAACAGGACTAAACAGGACTGACCAGGAACCAGGACTGAACCAGGACTAAACAGACTAAACCAGACTGAACCAGGACTAAACCAGGACTGATAAAGTTGAAGCTGTAAAATCTACAGTTGTGTTTCTGTATTATCTCCAGCAGGGGGAGCTCTTTGAATTAAACACACACACACACACACACACACACACACACACACACACACACACACACACACACACACACACACACACACACACACACACACACACACACACACACTGTTCAACCTGGTTTATAAAAGTAGATTTTTACACATTCAATTTTATCTAAAATGTCCTGCTGTTTAGGTCATTTTTTCCACTGGTTCAGTCCTGGTTTAGACCTGGTTTAGACCTGGTTTAGTCCTGGTTTAGTCCTGGTTTAGTCCTGGTTCAGTCCTGGTTTAGTCCTGGTTCAGTCCTGGTTTAGACCTGGTTTAGACCTAGTTTAGTCCTGGTTCAGTCCTGGTTTAGTCCTGGTTTAGACCTGGTTTAGTCCTGGTTTAGTCCTGGTTCAGTTTCCTGGTTTAGTCCTGGTTCAGTCCTGGTTTAGACCTGGTTTAGACCTAGTTTAGTCCTGGTTCAGTCCTGTCCTGGTTTAGTCCTGGTTTAGTCCTGGTTTAGTTTAGTCCTGGTTTAGTCCTGGTTTTAGTCCTGGTTCAGTCCTGGTTCAGTCCTGGTTTAGTCCTGGTTTAGACCTGGTTTAGTCCTGGTTTAGTCCTGGTTCAGTCCTGGTTTAGTCCTGGTTTAGTCCTGGTTTACACCTGGTTTAGTCCTGGTTTACACCTGGTTTAGTCCTGGTTTAGATCTGGTTTAGTCCTGGTTTAGTCCTGGTTCAGTCCTGGTTCAGTCCTGGTTAGTCCTGGTTTAGTCCTGGTTCAGTCCTGGTTTGGTTCAGTCCTGGTTTAGTCCTAGTTTAGTCCTGGTTTAGAGCTGGTTTAGTCCTGGTTCAGTCCTGGTTTAGTCCTGGTTCAGTCCTGGTTTAGTCCTGGTTCAGACCTGGTTAGTCCTGGTTTAGTCCTGGTCTGGTTTGTAGGTCAGTGTGCTGGACTTCTGGACTGTTTACTCTGGAGGTAAATATAATGAGAGCAAACACAAACTTTAGACCCAAACATGAGGCTCTGGTCTGAGAACTGAACCAGGACTGAACCAGAACTGAACCAGGACTGAAAAAGAACCAGACCAGGACTGAACGGCTCAGATTCCAAAATAAAAAAAGATCCAGCGTCATGATGCTCCACAGAATTTTGTATTTTTGAAGTTCAGTCAGATGTTTTTTGTCCTGGTTTAGACCTGGTTTGGTTCTCGTTTAGGCCAGGTCTGGTCCTGGTTTAGACCTGGTTTGACCCTGGTTTTAGTCCACACTGGGACTTTTTGGGGCCCTGAGGTTTTTCATGTTTTGTTTTGAGTGAAAGTTGAGACTCAAAGAATCACGGGAAACCACCTCCCGACACACGAGACACGAGGAGGAGCAGACCCGATCTAGACCTGGTCTAGACCCTAGTCCTGGTTTAGTCCTGGTTTTAGACCTGGTTTTAGTCCTGGTTTAGTCCTGGTTTTAGACCTGGTTTTAGTCCTGGTTTAGTCCTGGTTTAGTCCTGAGTCCTGTTAGTCCTGTTTTTAGTCCTGTTTAGTCCTGGTTTAGTCCTGAGTCCTTTAGTCCTGGTTTAGTCCTGGTTTTTAGTCCTGGTTTAGTCCTGGTTTATCCTGGTTTAGTCCTGGTTTTAGTCCTGTTTAGTTTTAGTCCTGATTTTAGTCCTTTTAGTCCTGGTTTAGTCCTGGTTTAGTCCTGGTTTAGACCTCCTGGTTTAGTCCTGGTTTAGTCCTGGTATTAGTCCTGAGTCCTGTTTAGTCCTGGTTTAGTCCTGATCCTGATAACCTGGTTTTTGGCCCTTGTCCTGTGTCGTGGTCTTTGTTTGCAAACATGTCCACGCTCTGACCTCTGACCCCTGAGCACAAACAGACTCTGATTGGCCGACAGCTCTGACCATTCTCCGCGTCCTGCGCTCTGATTGGCCGCTCGCCGTAATCACACTTCAGACGCCGCGCTCTGATTTGCTCTCGTCCCTAACCACGCTTCAGACGCCGCTCTCTGATTGGCCGTTCCCCCCGTGGCCCCTCCCCCTGGCGCTCTCTCTCTCCCCGTGGCTCAGGTGAGTGTCAGTGTCGCACGACCGAACTCACGACTGCAGCTCAGGACCTCAGGCCAACTTTTATTTATGATTTTATTTTCTGGATAAAAGTGAAACTAAACCATGAACGAGACTCAAGAGGAGACGAAGAGGAGCGGGCGAGGGCCCAGAGCCGACCACAGGGACCTGTGAGTGACAAAGACCTGGTTTAGTCCTGGTTTAGTCCTAGTTTAGTCCTGGTTTAGTTCTGGTTTAGTCCTGGTTTAGTCCTGGTTTAGTCCTGGTTTAGTCTTGGTTTGGTCCTGGTTTGGTCCTGGTTTAGTCCTGGTTTAGTCTTGGTCTAGTCCTGGTTTAGTCCTGGTCTCAGACACCTGAGACGGTCACAATAGACCGGCTCTCGACTCTCAGCTCAGATCGGGTTTTGGTTCTGGACTTGTTCTCACGCTCTCGGTTAAAGCTGCAGTGTGTCACTTTTTTACCACCTGCTCGTCTCTATGGAGACACTGGTGCTGTGTCTGGAATGTTCCACAGTGTGGCATTAAAATCTCCTAGAACTCTGGCGGCTTTATTGATTTGTCTTTGTTATTTGGGCTGATTGGACCTGATGAGGCAAAAACAGAATTATATTTTTATATTTACGATTTATAAAACATTTATTTTCTGTTTTGATCTTTGTGTTGGAAACAGTAAAGTTGAATCATGATTTACAAAAACATGTTGGAGATAAATGTGGACACATGTGGACGAGTCCAGGAGGATAAACTCTGACATTTATTGACTCACATTTTAAAGCTGAAAATCCCTCAGACAAACAGGGATTCTTACAGTGAGAGGGCTCGCCTCTCCACAGATCTGACCCGTAATTGTATGTGTCTGTGTAGTGTTTCGTCATCTCAGATCAGTGTGACACAGATTGGTTTGTTTACCTCTGGAGGGCGGAGACTAAAGTACCAAAACAACAACCCAAAAAAAAAACATGCAGCATATTGTCCGGGAAGAAAAACTGATGAAGGTCGATTAAAAACAACAACAACAACAACAATAATGATGATGATGTCACAAAGTGGCTCAGGTGTATCATGGGTTTAACTTTGAATATTGTTTCTCAGGTTACATTTTTAAAACTTCACACAGTTTAGTTCACATTTCTCAGAATCTTCTCGCTCATGTTTCTGCTGAAGCCTCCTCAGATCAGGACATTTGCCAAACTGTGAGTGTACGAGGTTAGACTCAGTTTGGTCTTTTAGAGTCTCCGATGTTTCCACATAAAGACCAAATCCTCTGAACACCGCTGATTTTGCCGCACACTTTTACAATCTGGTTCAGACTGTTCTTATCGTTCACAGATAACCAGATAAAACCTACAAATAAAACTAAAAGTCAACAAACTTTTGATACGTGAAATCCCTCAGACGCCAAGTAGAATCCAGGGCAAAGGACAAATTCAGTTTGTCAACTCTGACCCAGATCTGCACCTCACTGTCCTCAGAGGATTTAGGTGGAGATGAACGACAGACTGAGGTCCTTTTAGATGGAGAAGAACAGCAGACTGAGGTCCTTTTAGATGGAGAAGAACAGCAGACTGAGGTCCTTTTAGATGGAGAAGAACAGCAGACTGAGGTCCTTTTAGATGGAGAAGAACAGCAGACTGAGGTCCTTTTAGATGGAGAAGAACAGCAGACTGAGGTCCTTTTAGATGGAGAAGAACAGCAGACTGAGGTCCTTTTAGATGGAGAAGAACAGCAGACTGAGGTCCTTTTAGATGGAGATGAACAGCAGACTGAGGTCCTGTGTTGCTCTCGTCTGTGTTGTTGGTTTGTTTGTAGTTTGGTGTTTGTCCTTTTTGTGGACCAGTTTCTGTCTTAAACTTTTGATAAAGGAATGAACTTCCTTTAGTCCTGGTTCAATCCGTTATCAGTTTTTTTTCCATTTTTCATTTAAAGACAAAATCGAAAACTGAAAAAAGGAATCGTTGTCTGTTTTTTTCATTTTGATTTTGGAGACAAATACTGAAGAAAATAGTTGTTTTTCATTTAGAACATTAGAACATCAGAATATTTGAACATCAGAACATTTGAACATCAGAACATTTGAACATCAGAACTTGACTTAAATCTCACAGGAGTCCGTTTTACTTGCTGTAGGAGCTTTAAATGGACCTGAACGTTCTGCTGATGTTTCTCCACAGCTCAGATGTGGAGGGCGGCTGTGAGGAGCGACTCCGGGTCAGCAGAGCCACCAGTGACCCGCTCCACACCCACACCCAAGACCGGACCCAAGACCCAGACCAGGACCCGGACCAGAACCTGAGGAGGAAACCGGCTCTCGTCAGGTCTGCGTCTCCATGGCTCCGTCTGGTGTCGCCGATGTGAAACCCGAAGGTCAAAGTTGAAAGTTGAAGGTTCTGTTTGTGTCCAGGTCCAAGACGTTTGACCCGTCGCTGCTCCGAGAAACTTCTGAGGCCGACCCGAAGATCCAGAGGAAGAAGTCCCACTACAGCCAGGTACGGAACATCTAACCTGACCATGACCCAACCAGACCCTCCAAAAGAAACCACACTCAGAACAACCAGACCCACAACCCAACCACCCTCAGAACAACCAAACCACCACTCAGACCAGACTCAGAAGAACCAACCACCCAAACACACTCAGAACAACCAGACCCACCAACCCAAACACAATCTCAGAACAACCAGACCCACCAACCCAAACACACTCAGAACAACCAACCCACCAACCCAAACACCATCAGAACAACCAGACCCACCAACCCAAACACACTCAGAACAACCAGACCCACCAACCCAAACACACTCAGAACAACCAGACCCACCAACCCAACCACACTCAGAACAACCAAACCCACCAACCCAACCCCAATCAGAACACCATCTCAGAAGAACCAGACCCACCAACCCAAACACACTCAGAACAACCAAACCCACCAACCCAACCACACTCAGAACAACCAGACCCACCAACCCAACAAACACCTCAGAACAACCAGAACCCACCAAACCCAAACCACAACTCAGAACAACCACCAGAACAACCACCAACCAAACACCATCTCAGAACAACCAGACCCACCAACCCAACCACACTCAGAACAACCAAACCCACCAACCCAACCACCAACTCAGAACAACCAGACCCACCAACCCAACCACACTCAGAACAACCAGACCCACCAACCCAACCACACTCAGAACAACCAGACCCACCAACCCAAACACACTCAGAACAACCAAACCCACCAACCCAACCACACTCAGAACAACCAGACCCACCAACCCAAACACACTCAGAACAACCAAACCCACCAACCCAAACACACTCAGAACAACCAACCCAACCACCACACCACACTCAGAACAACCAGATTAGTTTAGATGTGGTTTAGTCCTGGTTTAGTCCTGGTTTAGTCCTGGTTTAGTCCTGGTTTAGTGTCCAGCAATGAGTGGAATTACTGAAAAAGAAAAAAAAATGGATTTAGCCCAAAATGTGAAAACAAGAAAATCCCTCTGTGTAATCAATTTATGTCAACAAAGTAACTGTAATCCAATTACCACTCACTGAAACAGTAACTGTAACTGAATACAGTTACTCGTAAATACCTCCGCCAAGGAGGTTAGGTTTTGCTGGCGTTTGTCTGTTTGTTTGTTTGTCTGTTTGTTTGTTTGTTTGTTTGTTTGTTTGTCTGTTAGCAACATAACTCAAAAAGTTATGGACCGATTTTGATGAAGTTTTCAGGATTTGTTGGAAATGTGAAAAGGAAGAACTGATTTCATTTTGGGGCTGATCCGGAAGAAATCCTGGATTCTGGATCACTTTGAAATTTTAGTTAACATTGTGGTAAATGGGGCCAAAAATGTAGTTTTCTCATTATCTTCTCGATTAATTATTGACCAAACCCCATGAAATGTGACTCAGGGATGGACAGTGGGATCCTCTTTCATATTCCAAATTGAAAGATACGAGACAAATATTTATGGAAAACACAATTAATATGAGGGGGACTGTAGTCCTTGGCGGAGTCTGCGCTCTCTGAGTGCTTTTCTAGTTAGTACTCTGATTACTCTGGTACATGTAATCTGTTACTCCCCAACACTGCATACAAGTCACATTTAACTGGAAATGTCAACGATCTTGCTAAAAAAAAATCACATTTCACTAAAAAAGTCTGAATTGAGTGTTAAACCCTGCAGTCTGAACG